ACGTTAAAGAAATTGTTTTTAGTTTATCTAAGAGTGCCAGTATTGCAGGTCATGGTCGTATAGACCCATTTCTCTCAAAGCCTAAGTCAGAACAGATGACCCTCAAAGGCATAGTGAAATGTACGAGAAACATGTTGGGCAGATATGTTGGTAACTGGTTCTACGATAAAGGGATCCCCTTTGATGCAGCCAATAGCCCATATTTCTCACCTATGGTCAACGCACTCCAGATAGTCGGGCCCAAGGTAAAACCCCCGACGACATATGAGCTCAGTGGGTCAATATTGGATGAAGAGGTGGAGGAAGTTAGAAAGTGGATTGAAGAATATAAACAGAGTTGGCCAAGAACATGCATTACTCTTATGAGTGATAGTTGGTTGAATAAAGTTAGTAAAAAGGAGTTTGTAAACTTCTTGGCCTATTCTCCAAAAGGTACAGCTTTTTTGTCTAGCAAAGACGTATCAAGGACGAAGAAGAATGCAAACTTCTACATACGACTATATGATCAGATAGTGGAGGAGGTGGGAGATAAGCATGTAGTCCAGTTTATTACGGACAATGCGCGTGCATGTGTTTCTGCGAGCAGCAAGTTGATGGATAAGAAGAAGCATCAAGTATGGACCCCGTATGCTGCACACAGCATCGATCTTATGTTAGAGGAGATCAGTGAGATCAAAATTGTGAAAGACACTCTACAGGAAGCGAGGTTGGTGTCAAGATTTATATATAACTATTCCAAAATTATTTTTTTTTTCAGAGAACAGTCTAAAAAAAAAGAGATAGTCAGGCCTGCCATAACCCTTTTTTTGACAGATTACTTGGCTATGGACTCCATTCGGGAATCTGAAGGTGCAATAAAGAGATTGTTTACCAGTGAAGAGTGGTTAAATGACCGCCTCTCGAAGTCCAATACCAGGCTAAAAGTGGACGGTATAGTCTCAAATAGGAGGTTCTGGTCTCAATGTTCCAGTATCATAGAGGCTACTACCGTTTTGGTCACGATGTTAAGAATGGTGGATGCTGACAAGAAAGCTACCATGGGCATCGTTTATGAAAATATCAAGAGGGCCAAATCAGCTATTAGGAAGAAGTGTAGTTTAGCTAGTAAAGTGATCGAGATTATAGAAAGAAGGTGGAACACCAAATTTGGACGTCCAATTCATTATGCAGATAAATATATATTTATATCATTAGAATGTTTCATTCTAAATTATTTTTTTATGAAATTTTAAATGACATTTCTTTATCTATATATTTTCTAGGTTACCACTTCAACCCAAAATTTTTCTATTTGATACCTGAACATCCCCATAAGATTATGGAAGGGGTCAGATACATTATTGTCAAGTTGGAGAGAAGCCATCGAAACCAGGTAGCAGCAATACAAGAAGTATTATTTAATATTTGGGTAAGAACTTAATTGAGTTGTTATATTTGTGAGGAATAATGTACTAAAATGAAATATTTTGTTTTCCTTGCTATGTATAGGGATGTTATACGATCCTTCAAAACTAGACTTGTCAGGAATTCTCGAACTAAGATGGATCCAGGTTATCCCCTAACTAATATTTTGTTCATTCATATATTTAATCTTATGAATTGTTCTTGCCCTTACAATGCTTTTTGCATTTTAATCCAGCTGAATAGTGGGAGATATCTGGTAGTGATGCACCTCACCTAAAGAGGATAACAATCAAGGTAATCTTCCAGACATGTTCTGTTACTGGCTGTGAGCGAAACTGAAGTATGTTCCAATGGTTGCACACTACTAGGAGGAATCGATTCGCTTCGGAGAAGCTTCATAAACTAGTCTACGTTCATTACAACTTAAACCTCCGAGAGCGACAAATAAAAAAGAAGCTTAAACACTATAGGCCGATAGACTTTGACACAATATTTGTCACAAACACAGCAGAACAATGGGTAGTAAAAAGAAGATGAGCCAGTGTTGCACAAGAGAGCCTTCCTTGAGGCTATCGGTGATAAAGATCTTGAAGAAGGTGATGAGCAGCATGAAAGAAGAAGCAACCCGCCAATATATCCACAATTCGTCAGAGATGTCGGTGATATTGCACCTAATGAGGGAGAGTGAAAAGGAGGTCTAAGGAAAAATGAGAGAGATAATGATTCTGAAGCCCACCCAATCCCAGCCAAATTAATCACATATCGAGTCCCAACAACAAGAGTGTAGGGATGAGCACGATAGTGTAGGTGAGTATAAAGGATGGACAAGCTTCGGGGACTTTGGATTAAGACCATAACAAAACACTAACACTCAGGGATTTGGGTATAGTCAGGTGCCCACTAATTTGGATGATTCGTTTTAGATCGAGTCAATGAATTGTCACGCGAATTCAATGAATGGCACCAGCGTGACCAAGATGAAGAACGACGCC